TGAGGGTGCTTTGGTTTGACATTTGGAGGTTGAGTCGCTCCATCCTCTTTTGGGAGTGTCATGGGTATCAAACCATGTTTCGTCAAGATATATTATCGGACGATTTTCTGCCCTATATTGTTTTATGGAACTTAAATATTCTCGACGCCATGCTTGTAATCGCTGGGATTCCATTAGCACTTGCCTCTTATTAATGGTTTGATATTTGAAACCCATTGCTTTCACAATTCTCCAAAGGCTTGTTCTGCTACATAATATATCAGTTTCGTCTTCTATAAGTACCTTTTTTAGAGAATCTATTGTAGGTATTATTTGTTTACTGTACAAATCATAAATTTTCCTACGAATCAACTCTTTATCCGCTTCTTCAACCTTTCTTGACTTGCCGCTGTCACACCGTTGCTTCCTTGGCTGGATGCGTTTGGCTACGATATCTTTAACCGTAGATAATGGAGTTTTGGTTAAAATGGATGATTCACTCACACTTTGATTATGATTATAGCCTCTCTGCAGAAGGGTTAAATAAACGTTGCTCACAATTTCCTTGGCATCTAGCGATAAATATTTTTTTTTTGAAATACCACTTCCGGTTGCAATACTACCATCATTTGCCCATGGACGCCACATTTTTTTTGTCAATATAACAGCTCTAGTTCTGCACAAAGACTAAATAATTTAACTAAAACATTCACCCACATTTACATGTACATCTCACCTAGGCAGGTATAATAAATAAAATCAACCCGGACCTGCTCACAGGTAGTCGAAGTTTGTGGTTGAGGGTATCATCAACATTTTATTGATACTCGAAGAGTCAACGAATTATTTTGGAATGGACTTTTTTACCAAAAGTCAATGACGTTTCAAGTGATTTAAGACCAACCAACATGTTAGCAACGGTCGAAAAAATTATCGAAAGATTGTTTATGAGCAACTGGTTGACTATATCTCAAAAAATAATATTTTGTACATAAGACATACCGGAAATATCACCATCAGAATTAAATACGCACTTCAACAGATGAAAAACGGCAAAAGTCCGAAAGGAGATCGAATAACACCGGAAATGCTAAAAATGGGTGGAAAAACACTAACAGAGACAATAGGAATGCTGTTAAACAAATGTTTGATAGAGGGATATATCCCGGAACCATGGAAAAATGCCGAAGTCGTGATAATATATAAAAAAGCGGATCGTTCAAATTTATAGAAAACTATAGACCAATAGGCCTGCTATTACACCTATACCGGGTGTCCCACCGAAAACTGTCAATGGCCTATATCTTAAAAACGGTAAACGATTAAAAAAAAAAAAAAAACTCTTTTGGAGGGTTGGAAGGGAGAACCAAAAGAAGGTACTCTTCAGGTCTTCCTGAATCACCCCTTAGGTCGCAGCTACCCTAACCTTAAAATATTAAATGGCACTATGGGTCATGTGATACCTTGTTCTAAAGGTCTTTTAATTCTCTTAATGGATCTGCAAAAAAAATTATCCAAATTTGAATGTGGCTCTCATTTTGATGAAAACCTTATTTGATCGGGTGGAACAGGTAAATGTGATTTAATAGTTATTTATACACCAAGTGAGTTAAATGAATGTTTATTCATGAGAAGAAAGTTTAACCCACGAGCCCTAGCGAGTGGGTTAATTTTCTTCGAATGAATAAACATTTTAACTCACGTGATGTATACAAAATTTTATCCCATTTTAGATAGATAGACATTCGAAAAATAAGGTACTTAATAGGAATCAAATTATAAAAAGAATTCATATAGCGAGCGCATATCAAATATTGAAACTGGTAGTTGCTAGGGTATAACTAGTTGTTTGTTTGTATTTGTAGCAGATTTTTATACTGGCAGAGTGACTTAAAGACCGAGAGTGAGTTAAAAATATTTTAAGTCACTCAGGTGATAAACGTCTACTTACCTTTGTTATTATGCGTTCAATAATGTCATTTTTAAACGTCAAAATGGGATAAAATCAATTTTATACAAGTTTAATAATGGCCTGAATATTTTTGAAGAAATCATCAAGATTTTATTATTTTGAACCCCTTTCCCCTCACTGTACCTGAGAGTGTTCACCTCCTCAAGAGAGGAAAGTTATTAACTCGAAGCATGCGCAATTTTGTGACAATTTCAATTTGTATCTGGATAATTTTTTTTGCAGATTCGTTTAGAGAATTAAAAAACCTTTCAAACAAGGTATCACATGATCCATAGTGCCATTTAAGATTTGGAGGTTAGGGTAGCTACGGCCGAAGGGGTGATTCAGGGAGAGCCGAGAAGTACCTTGTTTCAATTCCCCCTTCCAACCCTCCAAACGGGTTTTTCATTTTTTTTAATCGATTACCGTTCTCAAGATATAGGCCATTGACAGTTTTCGGTGGGATACCCGGTAGAAACTTTTCACTAGAGTTATCAACAATCGACTGACTGCGAAGCTAGAGTCCTACCAACCAGTAGAACAAGCAGGCTTTCGAAGGGGCTTTAGCACTACAGACCATCTGCAAACAATTAAAGCAGTCATCGAGAAAACAACGGAATATAACATACTCCTTCACCTGGCGTTTGTGGACTACCAGAAAGCCCTTGACAGCGTTGAAACCTGGTCCTTTCTAGCGGCTATGAAGGACGCAAGAATCGATTCGAGATACTCTACCCTTATTAAGAATATCTATGATAAGGCAACCTTTCACGTAAAAATAGTCGACGCTCTTAAAAATGATAAAATATTACTTGGCAAAAGAGTACCTACAACAGGGGGATACCATCTCTCCCAAGCTATTTACCCTAGCACTGGAGAATGTTTTTGAGAAGCTGGAATGGGAAAACAAGGGTCCAAACATCGATGGAGTATACCTCAATCACCTCAGATTTGCAGATGATATAGTCAACATTCAAGAACTGAACAACATGCTAAGTGAGCTAAACGAACAATCCAAGAAAATTTGCCTAAAAATTAACTTGAACAAGACCAAAATAATGAGCAAAAATGAATATAACATCACCATAGAAAACGTTACCATAGAAAATGTCGAACATTACATATACTCAGGACATAGAATCAAGCTGGACAAAGAAAACCAAACGACGGAAATCAAACGCAGGATCCATTTGGCATGGGTGGCATTCGGAAACATGAACTTTATTTCTAAAGATAAAAAGGTACCCATAAAACTAAAGAGGAAACCCTACAACAGCTGTATTCTGCCGGTTCTCACACGGCTTAAAAACTATGGCAATAACCCGAAGAGCAGCTGAGCAACTGAGAGTCGCACAGAGAGCCATGGAAAGAATAATGCTGGGAATCACCTCAAGGGAACGAAATGAACAGATACGTGATAGAACCAAAGTGACGGATGTTGTGAAAAAGGTAGCAAGCCAGAAGTGGCAATGGATCGGACATGTGGCGAGACAGGACCCAGAAAACGTTACTCTGGAGACCAAGAGGAACAACAAGAAATGTGGGACGACCGAAAAAGAGATGGATAGACCTTGTCAGAACGGTGGCAAGGGGACAATTGATGAGATTAGCGAGAGATCGCGGGACATGGAAAAACTTGGAAGAGGCCTTTATCCGACAATGGGATGGACACGGGCTGACGAAGAAGAAGAAGAAGAAGAATAAGAAGAAGACGAAGAAGAAGAAGAAGAAGAAGAAGAAGAAGAAGAAGAATAGAGAAAAACGGGACAAAAAAATATGAAAAATGAAGAGAGAAAAAGTATTTGAAAATTAACATAATACTTTTTCCATTCTATCCGAGAAGTACGCCGGGCCGGCTATAGATAGGTACTAAAAATTGTGAAAATTACATGATAAAGTATATCAAATGTCCATTTTCATGTGCCTGTTTTTTCTACTCCTATTCAAGAGAAGATACTAAAAAATCACGATTTTTCTGATCTGATCTAAATCGAATTAGATACCACCGAGAAAACTATCAGCTTTTGGGACCAAGCTAACGCCGATCTTCTGCTGAGAACTACTTGGAGCAAGAAAAGCAGTACGATCGCACGAAGGGACTATAGATAATCACTTCAACGTTTTCAGGTATTTACCTACCTTTTAAAGAGAAACAAATAATAATTACCAATGATAATTACCATTGAATTGTTTCATATTGAAAAGCGCTCACGGAAAAAAAAATACCTTTGGCTCAGCCCCCACTAATTATTGACGTTTGCCGCGAGATTTTTTTTTTTTCTGATATTCATCCTCACTTTTTGCCATTTTGAAATGCTTCTAATAAGATTTTCCCTCATCAGAACACCTGATAGTTTTCTTACTTACCTACCCTTTTGGATAGGACTCAATTCGGAATTGTGGACCAATTCTAAAAAAAAACTTGATTTGATAAACCCGATCAGCGATTCCAAAAAGTCATAAAGGTCAAAGTGGTAGGTATTCAAAAAACGCAAGCGTAAATGGCGCTTTCCATTTATTTATGATAATTTTAAAAAGTACTTAGGCATTAAAAAAAAATATAAGAATGTATATGAAGGATTTCCTCATTTTTAGAGGGTTAGCGACCTGTATTTGGCAAAACCAATAATTCAAGAAAATCTAAAAAAAAATCAGGTAATAATGATTATTATATACCTACCTACCGGAAAATGGAAAATAACATAATTTCACCCTTCTGCTTTCTCAATATGTTTGTTTATGACACACATATTTATAGGGGTTGGTGAGGAAATATTTGGCGCGCGCTTGTAAGCTATATAAGTTTATATTATGTGCGATTGTAATTTATAGCGAGAAGTTACCTAAAAAAAAAAAATCAGTGAAATTTCAATTCATTTTTCTCGCTTGCCAAATGAGAACATTAAAAATAAATTAAACATAAAAATGACACGCGCGGGTTTTCTGTTATCAGGGGAAACGGCTATAAAATTAAAACGTGTTGACGTTTTATTTTCCCAACAATTTTTTTTTAATGAAGAACACTATTAGATAAAGATGTTGTTTTACAATTCAAAATTAAAATACTCACTGTTCACGTGGATTCCCTGGGTTGAAAAAAAAAATTCACATTCGATGTTTATTTTCCCAATAATAAGTACCGAATAATGATGAAGCAACTCAAAACAGTTCAATTCCTAAAACTTTAAAACTAACCAAAAAATATAATGGAAACCGTCGCCGTTTAATTCTAAGTTTTTAGAGTCTAGCGCGACCGTCGACTAGACCAGGAAACGAACTAGACTGCAGGCTAGGCGGGCGGACGGCACAGCAGCGGGCTATTCTGCGATTTCTGCGAAGGCCTGACCGAAATTGCAGTGCGTCTCAAGGCCATAAGCCTCTCTTATTACGTAATCCTATTTCTAAACCGTTGTCGTAGCAGGTAAAACAAAATTTGCTCCCTCCTCGATATTTTTAGAGAGGACCACACCGCACCCGACCTGCTTGCCTGCCAAATGTTGTCCGGTCTGGGATCTAACTCTCTTATTAGTTCTAACAACATAGACAATCTTCATTTCCAGTTTGATGCTAAGGTCATCGAAATTCTATAATGTATGCTATTAGATAGGATATGTTAGACGCATCAAAGTAGGTATCTGTCACTATTGCAAATTGGCAGTGGCGTCAGCTGTTTATTAGCACAAGCTCGAAACAAAGACAGCAATATTTCTTCAGGAAAACCATCAAAGAACCTAACTGACAAAAATGCGCATGCCAAATGGTATTATAAGGTAATTTGGCTCACAGATTATTTTGGAATAACTGTAAATAAAAGAATAAGTGTTTAAATAGTGATAGTTTTCAATATATTATGTATTACCTACATCAAAGGCACTAAATAGTTATTATCTGAAAACAGTGGGCCGTAGAAATTTCTTTTCAAGTTTCAGGCTATAGCAGTTTATGAAAGAGGATCGGTTCGAGATTAAACGTTTTGTGTAGAGACCGCAGCGTCTATCTATGCGTATTTACGATTGTTCGAGATCAGAGTCCACAAAATGTCTTGAAAGAATTTACTGAGAATGCCAATAGCAGCTGATTCTAGAAGTAGGCACACCACTCGGTTGCTCAACAAGTGTTTTCTAGGTAAATAGGCACATCTCGCCTTGTCCAATATTTGAATGTGACCTCTGAGTGCGTGATAGTAGTGTGTAGTAGCCACTAGTACCTATTTTATAGGTTCACATCAGATCGTCTTTCAGCCTTCTTTTCTCAAGCGTAGTGAGGCCAAGACTCTAGAGCCTGAATGGAGATGGAAGGTGTCTGAGTTCAGGAGGGATCTTGGAAACTTTTAACTGGACCCTTTCAAAGAATTCAATGTCTGGAAATATGTGCTTTATGTTAATTAGTGTTGGTAACATGGAGGAGATCCACTCATAAATGCTCTCTATATCAAGTATGCCAGGCTTTGTTTCATTTTAGGTAATAGATTGTAATTTTATGCTGCTTATATTGAACTTAGCGAACTCAGCCTACTTGGTAGCCAATAAAGTTGATAGGTAGCACTGGGTCGATCTGTTTAATATGCAATATGCACACACACATCGATGTCAAAGGGCAGTGAGGAGTTAACAGTGGACTATTGATGGTACTTGAGTGGGTTGCAGAGGATTTTGGCATTCTCATCTTTGTTTTTATATCAGGAGACAGGTCAGAAAATGTGAACCAGGAAAATTAATGTAACCAACACCTCTGTAATGAGTTGTTCTTATTGAGTTCTCTCTTTAGAGAGCTTACTCATTCCATGGGGAAAATTTGAATTTTCGCTGTTTATGTGTGTAGTTTATGTTTTAATTTTTTTTTTATTGATTGTTTTTATTTAATTTTAAGGGATGTCTTCAAATAGATTTTTGAATTTGTCGTTTCTTCGTCGTTTGATGTGAAACGTGTTTTTTAGTGTTTGATTTATGGCATCTTTGAATTTTGTGTGTTTTCGGATCAGGAATTCCTTCATGGACTCGGCTTGGAGGTCTTCGTGGATGTCCGTGTTTCTGATAAACACAGGACGTTTGTGATTCTTCTGAGGGTTTTGTTTTGAAAAGTATGAAGTTTTCATGTTTGTGTCGCTTTGGTTTAATAAGGCTGTTGAACCGTAGAGCATTTTTGGCCTAATGACTTGGTTGTATAGCAGTAATTTGTTCTTTAAGTTTAGGTGACTTTTGGATTGGAGTAAAGGACGGAGTTGATGATATGTGGCGTTGCAGATTTTGACTTTTGGTTAGGTGTTGTGGTTGAAGTTTAGCCTTCTGTCTAGGTGAATGCCTAGGTACTTGACTGTGTCTTGCCATGGGATTTCGGTGTCCTCAATGGTGAGGTGATCTAGTTGTGGTCTGGCCCATTTTTTTGAAATTGCGATGGCTTGCGTTCTCTCTGCGTTTATTTTTATTTTCCAGGAGTTTGCCATTCCTGGATTTGGTCTAGGTGGTTTTGAATTGCAGTGGTTATAGTGTCTGGGTTTTTGTAGGATGCAAATATGCGGGTGTCATCGGCAAATAGTGAAATTTTGGTTCGTGGGGATTTTGGGACGTCGGCTTGGTATAGAATAAATAGAATGGGGGATAAGGTAAAGCCTTGGGGGACGCCTGCTTCTATTAGCCTGGTGGTGGATAAGGTTTTATTTATTTTTACTTGGAACTTCCTTTCTTTGAGAGATTGTTTTATGAATTGGGTTAAGTTTGGTGGAATCATCTGGTTTTTGTGTAGTTTGTATAGTAGGCTCTCATGCCATACTTTATCGAATGCTTTTTCCACGTCTAGTAGTATCAGTCCTGTTGTTTCTTTTTTGTTGAAGCCGTCTGTGATTTATTATGTTATTCTTGCTAGTTGTAGTTCTGTTGAAAGGTAACTTCTGAATCTAAATTGCTCGTCCGGTAAAGTTGTTTTCTTCTGTAATTATTTTTAGTTTTTCGAGGAAAACAATTTCTAGTAACTTCCCCAGGGATGGAAGTCGACTGATCGGGCGCCAATTTTGAGGAAAGAATAAGTTTTTGCCGGGTTTTGGAAGGAGAATCACTATGGCGGTTTTCCATAGGGAGGGGGAGTAGGATATTTGGAAGCAGTTATTGAAAATTTTGGGGAGCATTTCTAGGTATTCGTCAGGAAGTTTTTTGAGGATTTTGTTATCAATTGCATCAATTCCGGGAGCATTTTTGTTTTGTAAGTTGTGGATTATTTGTTGTAGGTAGGTCTTTTTTTGTGGTTTTGATTTCTTCCGTTCTGTGGGGTTCGTGCTTTGAATTGATTTTTTTCATTGTATTGTGGATTCTGATTTCGTCGTCCTAGTCGTAGTCCATTGATTCGTTTGTGATGAATTGTAGTTCCAGGGAGTCAGCAAACGCTTCTTCCTTGGCTTTGTCGTGGTACACAATGCCATGATTTGCACTGTGAATTGGCGGCATTTCTCGAATGTTCGTTTTATTTAATAGGGATTTTTGGGTTTGCCATAAATTTATTAGATAGTCTTGTTCGTTGAGGCTGGAGAGGAAGCTTTACCACTTTTCGTTGTTGTATTTGTTTATAAGTTTGTTGATCTTCTTGGTTGTCTGGTTTGCTTGATTGTTAATTTGAGGTTCTTTTGTTAGTTTCGCTCTCCTTTTGAGTTTGCTTCTAGTTTTTATTTTGTCTTTTATATGAGCTGGGAGGAGGAAAGGATTTTTTGTTTTGATGTTGATCGTTGAAGTGGTTTCTTGCAGGACTGTTTGAATGTGACAAGGAAACCAGAGTTTTTTCGATGTTGCTTGTGTCGGTTGTTGGTACAAAAGTTGCTTTATTTTCCAGTAGCTTTTTCTTGAAGTTTTGACAGTTTTTTATGTTTATGGTGTTAGGTTCTGGGTTGAGCAGGAGGTTTGATACTTGGATGGCTATAGGGGTGTGGTCGGAGGAGGCTAGGTCGTTGAGGTATTTTATGGTTATAGATTGGGGACAGTTTTTTGTGATTGCTATATCTAGGATGTCTGGTGTAATGCGGTGGAAGTGGGTGAGTTCGACTGGGGCCAGGATTTCCAGTCCTTTGTCTATACAATAGTCGTTGAGTGTTTTTCCTGCTGCGTTGGTAGATTTGCATCCCCATTGGACATTCTTTGCATTGAGGTCCCCTGCTACTAATGTTGGGTATGAGGAGCTAAGTAGGGTGTCTAGGTCCGTTCTTTTTAATGTGATTCTCAATGGTTTGTATGCTGAAATTATTTCTATGTCTCCTTCCTGATGAATAACTCTAATTGCAGTTACTTCAATCCTGGGGTCGGTGCTTAGAGGGGTGATTTCTTCGTGGGGTATGTTTTTTTATGAGGATTGCTGTTCCTCCCCCGATTTTGTTATCTCTGTCTTGTCTGCAAATTTTATAGCTGAACACTTTGTATATGGTTTGAGGTTTTAGACAGGTATCTTGGATTAGTTTTCAACGAGGTATTCGTTGAACTCCTGTCTTTTGGGAAAGAGGGAGTTCGCGTTCCAGCTGATTATGAATGGATTAGTTACTTTTTTTGTTGTGTTATCGATTTAGTTGATTTAGGAAAGGTTTTACTAGTGGATTTTGTTCTATTTTTGTGTTTATGCGGGTGATTATATTGTCGATTTTCTGCTCCAGGTCCTGGTTATTGTGTGAGAGGAAATTGAGTATGTGGCTTTGAGGGTTTTGTGGGAGTGTGGCAGGGGTTTGGGCAATTCTAGCGTAGGATATTTGGGTATTGACTGGTTTTGGGGGTGGTTTTGGTATATGTGGGATGGTTGGTTTGTTTGAGTTGTGGCACTGTGGAATGTGCTTTGTTGTTGGTGCTCTCTGTTGGGATATTTGTACTCTCGTGTAACAAATGTATGTTATTTCGAATGCGGTATGAGGAGTTTCATCAATTCTGTTTCATTATTTCTATTCGGAACGGATTTGTGCCATTGAATTTCTGATGGGATGTAGCGTAGTTCAATTAGTTCCTTTTCAACATCATCTATAGGGAGCATTTTTTGCTTAGTCCTTTTATGATAATGTTAAGTATTTTTCTTCTTTAAGAAATAGGTGTGCTAATCCACGTTTTTTTCTTTTAGAAGCTTTGTGGCTGATCTGTGGTCATCCGTGGATTTTGGGAGTATTTGGATGCCGAGTGGATGTTTTTTTGGGTCCTCAATGTTGACGTTGTTATTTGCTAGTAGCTGGTGGATTTCTAGCCAGTATTTTGAGTCTCTTATTATAATTGGGGGAATTCTTGGTTTATCGGGAGTTTCGTTGGGTTTGGATGTTTTTTTTAGAACTGGGTTTCTGGTTATTGAGAGATTTGGGTTTTGGGACAGTAGTGGGTTTCTGTGGACCGGGTTTCTTAGTTGGGGAAAGTCTTCCTTGGGGATTTGGACCGTCTGTATTTGGATCTCGGGTTCAGCTTCCATTTCTTCTTCTATTTCATTTTGTGAATTTACTTCAGAGAAGGTGTTGGATGGGGATTTTTGTTTTCTTCTTTTCCTGGAGGAAGCGTGTGATGTTGAGAGCATGGGAGGCTCGGATGTGTTTGAGTGCTTCTAGTTATTTTGTCTGATTTTTGTTGACGGTCAGTGCATACTCTACTTTTGTCTCCATATTTTTAACGAGTTGTACTAGATTGTTCTAGTTTACTTCTAGGTTTTCATGTTGGTTGGATAATGTTTCTAATTTTGATCTCAAGTTCGCTGTTTCATTGATTAGACGTTGTTCATTGTCCACATATTGGGCGACGGTTCTGTGATTTTCAATGGCTTAGGATTTTAGGTTGTCGATTTCTTGAAAAAGGGTTTGGTTGGAGTTTAGAGATCGGTTGAGCACAATTAAGGATTTTTCTTTGTCATGGGCACGGAGTTTATCAGAAAGAGAGTCGGACTTAGCCCCTATGTTTGCCATTTTGGGTTTGGTTTTTTCACTACTTTTGACACTTTCACTGAACTTTTTACTGCACTTTTTACTGGAATCATGGATGTACCACGCCGAAGCGTGGTAGCTGGTGGTGTCTCTTCTTTCACTTGACTGCTCTTTGGTTGGGCTTCTAATTCCCGGCTTCTGGAATCCAGCTTGACTAGATTTGGCTTCTTTGCTTTTCGGAGTCTTAGGGCCGATTTTTTAAAAGCTCTCTAGATTCTTACTGAGCATGATGGTGGAAATACCTTCTGATAACTTCTG